TTCATAACCACCACCCTTTCTGCTTGTCAGACCAGGCTTTGCTGTCAATCACTCCAAGAGAATTTTGAAAACAGAAATAAAAAGAACATTATGAACAGCTGAGTGATTCCCCCCCAAAAAAACACTTTTAAGTTTTAACAAAATTCAGCTGTTTCAAAGGGGAGGCTGATATAAGGGGAGATTTTCCCACACACACACACACACACCCATCATGTATAAAAGCAGCTTGTGAATGAGTTTTTGGTAGGAAAACTGTATAAGGAGATAGTTTCAGATGTGTAACCATGTTCGTCTGGAGTAGAAGAACAAAGGTGGAGTCTGACAGCACATTAAAGACCAACAAAATATCCCACGGTATAAGCTTCCATGCCCTGACCTGGTTAGCTTGAACTTGTCACATCCCAGAAGCTAAGCAGGGTCAGTCCTGGGTAGTATTTGGATGGGAGACCTCCAAGGAATACCAGGTTCATGACGTGGAGGCAGGCAATGGCCAACCACCTCTGAATGTCTCTTGCCTTGAAAACCCTGTGGGGCTGCCATAAGTCAGCTGTGACTTGACTTGACAGCACTTTCCACCACTATAGGTTTCTGTGAGTCGAAGCTCCCTTCATCAGACACCAAGGAGAAAGAGTTAAATAGCACTCCCCACCCCTTGCACGCACACACCTTCCTCTTTAAATAGCAGCCCCTGCAGCTGCATTCTGTTAAAAGAAGTTAGGGGGAAAAAATAATCATGGAACTATGCATAGCACGTAATTGTCTCCTTAGTTCATCCTGCGTGGAAAAAAGATCTCCATCTTTTTGGAAGAGGGCACGGAATCCCACCAACGTTGCATCCATTTAGGCATACGCATTCTGCCCCACAAATGTTCTTGCATGATCCTTGCATTGGAATGGGGAAGGGCTGTGGCTCAGTAGCAAAGCATCGGTTCTGCATGCAAAAGGTTCCAGATTCAGTCCCTTACATCTCCAGCTAAAGCATCTCAGGTGGCCTGTGCTGGGAAACACCTGCCCGAGACCCTGGAGAGTTTCTGCCACTCCAGAGTAGACAGAGCTGAACTACGTGGACCGATGGTCTGACTCGGTATACAACAGCTTCATAGGCAGAGGTACTGTTTACATGGACAGCTTTGCTCGCCAGGGCTCCAGACAGAAAAGTGACCCAGACAAATGCTTACATCAGAGGAAGTCCCTGCAAGCCATGTGGCTTGCAGCTAGCAAGGATGTCCATGTTATGCATGTGGAAGTCAGCACCCATCACTTGGATCCAAACTAAACTGGGAGTTTCCATTGATTCGTCCTTCCTGTTTGCAGATGCCTCTCATGCCATTCCTCAGGGTCTTCTATTGCCCAGGAGTAGCATTTTGTAGAGACCAGTGCAAGGGGGGAGGTGGGAAAGTTAAGAACATAAGAGAAGCCATGTTGGATCAGGCCAATGGATTATCCAGTCCAACACTATGTCACACAGTGACCAAAATTCAGGTGTCAACATCAGGAGGTCCACCAGTGGGGCCAGAACTCCAGAAGCCCTCCCACTGTAACCCCCCAAGCACCAAGAGTACAGAGCATCACTGCCCCAGACATAGTGTTCCATCTGTATCTTTTCTCTAATAGCCACTGATGGACTTCTGCTCCATACGTTTATCCAATCCCCTCTTGAAGCTGTCTATGCTTGTAGCTGCCACCATTTCCTGCGGCAGTGAATTCCACGTGTTAATTATTCTTTAGGTGAAGAAATAATTCCTTTTATCTGTTCTAAGCCTACTGCTCATTAATTTCATTGCATGCCCACAAGTTCTTATATTATGAGAAAGGGAGAAAAGTACTTCTTTCTCTGCCTTCTCTATTCCATGCGTAATTTTGTTCCATTCTGCCACTGGAAAATTTAGTCTCTGTCCGACCCCATCACTGTTACTTATATGTGCAGACACAAGAGATTTCACACTACATACTTGTTGATGTAAACGGAACCACATCTGTATGCACCACTGCAGTACAACTTGCAGGCAGCCTAACTGTGTTAAGGAGTTAGATAAGAAGCCACGTTTATACTTTCCCAATCTGATCAGAATCACATAACGTTCAACCACATTCACCTTGGCATCATATCTATGTACACTTCATACCTAAAAGGGCTACTTTATTCCATAGGACACACACCTGAAACACATATGCTCCAGTACACTCTACAAAAAGAGCTTGCACACTGTAATACAATATACATACTGATGCTGTGAACCACCTAATGATATCTTCCAACACTTCTGTGCATCCAGCAGTCATGTTGATACAATGGAGATGACACATCTTGCTACTTGAGCACATGTGAAAGACCTACACATGTTCACAGATGCACTGGCGCACAGTGCAACTACGCCTTTGTATCGCAATGTGATTGCCAAAGAATGAGTACACACCAATGAGCATGTGTATCATCAAAGTGCATCACTTTCAGTCCACTTGCACAAACAGGTTTTCACATCAACACCTCGTAACAGCCCACACGTTGATGGTGCATGCAGAATGCTTGTCATACTTCTCACAAGGTGTCCAACCAGAACACGGCCCTTGTGCACAAGAAGTGGCATGTTCTTCGTCTTGTCGTATCTTCCTACATCTGGGCTATAGGTACAGATGTGTCCAAGATAGCAATGGAGAATCAACAAGCTTGAAATTGTGGAGGTGGGAAATAGACAGTAAAGACACAATAGCCAGCTTCACTTTAGATGCTGGACAACAGCTGTGTGAGAATGGGATGTATCCCTTTGAAAATCCACAGGAGGGGACCTTCAAATGTTAGTGTGTGTATAAAGAAATCTCCATCTTTGGAGCACAGGGCTTTAAAGTGGTCTCACTGAGTATATAGGGTTAAATCCAGACAGCTTTTTCACTCAGTCTCACCCAAGTCTCTTCCTTCCTACAGCCCCTGTACCACATGGGGTTTTGTCCAGGGGAGTCCAACAATCCCCAGTATAGCCTTTAGGGGTGATCACTGAGAAGCCCTCCTCCCCTTTTCACTAACAGAAAAGCTAGCTGGACCCCACCTACAATATGGGCTTGCAGTCCTCATAAGCATGGTTTACTCAACACAGTTTACTCAACACCCCAAACCAGTGGTTATAACTTGTGCTATCGAAGACAGTACATGATATGTTTCTGTATGCCATAAAGGAAATGGTGGACCAATATATTTTACCAAGGGTGTCTTGATAGACACAGATGACCCAAGGGACAGGGTTACTGGGAGGGAAGATACAGTTTTGAAGGTACAGGGAAGAGATTTGGAGGCAGACATTTGCCAGGGAAAGCAAGCTAAAGAGAATCCAGCACAGGTGATCACGAGAAAAGGCAGTATGTGTAGACTAGAAAAATGAGTCAAAGTGTTGGTTCAATAAAAATGGAGATGCAGACAGCGGCGAGGGGAAGGACAGGGTATTGGGCCTGCCTGGTGGAGGATAATAGAATCAGAGAGGGTGGAGGACCTCCAGAGAGGGTGAGGGTCTGCACAGCTGGAGGCGGAAATCACAAGCAGGTTAGTAGTCAGAATCTGGACCCTGAACATGGGGGGGGGGGCGGCGGCACAGAAACAAGAGCTGCAAATGATACAAGGTTGGGGGTAAAGAGCAGGGAGGGATGGGACTGTATGTTTAGGCCAACCAAGGGGAACTGGAATGGAGAGGCTGTGGATGGAATAAAACAGCTGGGTAGAACCAGGTCAGATGAGAAATGCTTCCTGGTAAGAATGAATGGAGAGCAGAACCTGAAGGAAAGGGGGGGGGGAATGCTGCCTAGACATGAAATGAGGGTTGCTGGAGAGGGGCCCCCCCCAGAGTTGGGGGGAGCTATGGGGGGAAATGGGGAGAAAACTGGATGGGTGATGAAGGACAGTGAAGCAGGTGGAGGGGGGATGTGTTCTAAGTTCTAAATGGGGGACGCCTGCAGTAGTGGAGCCAGACGGGAATCGATGGGGGCAGGTTGTCATGGCGTTTGCAGAGAGTGGGGGCACACGGCCGCTCAAAGGGGAACTGGGGACAGCCGAGCAGAGCACCAAACAGGCTGGACGGAGGAAGGGGAGGGGGAATAAAGGGAAATGGGAACATTGGCTCAGGTCAGAGTAGAGGGGAGGAGGGCATTTGCTCCTGGGGACGGGGATACAGGCGTCTGAAAGAGGGACACGTTTGGATGCCGACAAGGCAGGCCTTAAAAAAGAAGTGGATAATCATGGGGGGGGGCACACACACACTCAGTGAGATAGGTTATGTGGGGTGCAAAGCTTAGGGGAGACCAGGAAGGGAACTGCTTGAGACAGGAGGGGGGCATCATGTGGATTGTTTAGTCTTGGGCATCTGGCCCTCGGAGACACTACAGGGCCCCGGCCACCCCCCACCCCCGGAGGCAATAGGGTCTGGGGGTAGGGAGCCAGGTCAGGCTTGGGTGGAGGTTTGGAAGCTTCCAGGAGGGCAGAAGCCGGATCAGGGTTTCGTGAGGCTCCGAGTTGGGGTGGCGGACTTGCGTGGCCAGGGCTGAAGGGAGCCCAAGAAATCCGGGAGGAGACCTCTCGGGATAAGGGTGCGGGAAAGGCACGAGGGATGCCCCGGGAGGCTGATCCCGATGGCGGAGTTGAGATGCAAGAAGCGTGCAGTGGGGAGGAGGTGGTGGTGGAGAATCTCGCCGGGGCATCACGGGGAAGGGTGCGTGGGGGCGAGGGTGAAGAGGAGGCAGCGGGTGCTTTGGGAAGGACGGCAGCCCCGCCGTGGGTGTCATTGGGAGCGGCCGCCCCAGAGATGCGGGAGTCAGGGAGGGCTGCATTTGGGGAAAGGCCGGCGGGAGGAAAGAGCCAGAGCAGAGGGAGGGATTGCAGAAGGGGGGGGGGGACTGAGGCGATATTTAGTCAGCGACAGGGAGGGGAGACGGAGATGGCCATGGGGAACGGGGCGCAAAGCTGCAACGGGGAGCGTCGCAGGGTTCCCGGGAATGGGGCTCCCCAGCCCGGTCCTTACCTACCTTTGCAGCAGGCGGGGGAGGCGGCGCTGCTCCTGCTGGCGGTGCTGATGCAGAAGGGATGCAGGAGGGACCCTGGATGCTGATGCTGTCCAGAGCGTCGCCCCCTGCGGCGGCCTTCAGGGACGATGCCAGTCCCCCAAGGGGATCCCGCTCCCCAGCCCCGGCATCCCTCCCTCCCGGCCGGCCGGTCGGCCACCGCCTGGCGCCCCCCCTCCCTCCCGCCCAGGCAGCTCCAGAGAGTAAAAGGAGGGGAAAATCCCGCCCCTCCGCTCAGCGCAAACCTGGGCGCGCCTGCCCCTTTAAGAGACCCCTGACTGACAAGGCTTTCGCCCAACGAGTGCGCGGCGAGGTCCGGGACTGCCCCTGAGGCACCGCCCACGCGTGGGGAAGGGAGGGGGAAGCCGGGCTCCGAGTGGCAAAGAGGCACAGCCAATGGGTAGGCCGGCTGATGGGCGAGGGGGGGCCTGGGGAAGCCAATTGGGGAAGCCGGCGGGGGGGGCTGGGTTTTAGGATGATGTCATCCGGTGGTTCTTTAGGAAAAAGGAGGGGGGGAAGAAAGAAGAGGGGAAGAAAAATCAGATGCATCGCAGGTAAAAGGAAGGGGGGGAGGGAGGCAGGGGGAGAGTAACAAAAATGCATGAGATCAATGCAACGATCCGGGGAAACGTCTAAATTTGTGTTATAATCTGAGGGCACGCAACAGTCCGGAGACTACGAATGAGACACTGCACCACTGGAGGGGAAAATGCACCAAATGCGCGCAAGGAGAGAAATGCACTGATTCATGCAGCAGGGGGGGGGGGAAGCCGTGAGTCCGGCGGGGGGGGGGGGGGGCAGAACTAATATGCATGTGTCACCTGGAAAATGCACCTACATCTGGGGAAATGCAGCAGTCCGGGGGCGGGAGCACCAAGAACACAAGCCAACAACCCCGTGTGGACTCCCCCCATCCGCCCCCAGGGCCACAACTCCTTGGACCTCGCAGAAAAGATCATTCCGTGGGCTCCAGGGGAGCGAAATGCACCAGTCCATGCGACAGAGAGAAAATTTCTCAAGCCACCCACTACAAGGAGATGCACCAGTCAGTTTTACTCAGGGGAAAGAGCAATACATGCACCTCAAGGGAACCTGAAGGGGGGGGGGGACCATACCAAACCACGTGCTGCTGAGAAATGCACCAATTTGTGCAAGCCGATGTGAAAAAAATGCTTCAATCCATAAAAAACCGTGTCAGTCAACGTAGCCTAGAGAAACACATCCATCATCCTCACGGAATGTATCTGTGCATGCAACAGCCTATGAAAATTCATTTGTACCGGGGAGAAGCATGAAACAAAGCCCTGAAAGATCAAGCATTCGTTGCTGGGCCCTGTAGAGGAAGTGTGGTAGTGGAGAGACTCCAGGAAATAACATGGAAATATATATCATGACATGTTCTATGGGGAAGGTGCAAAAAAAAAATCAATACATGAAGCCCAAGAACTGCAAATCAATGCAACACAAGAAGACGATCCACGGGGGAAGCAGCAAAAACCATGCATCATTAAGGGCCCTTCTAGGTGGCAGGGGGGGAATAAAACATTTAATGCTTGGTGTTGTGGAAATGCTAGCTCTGAATCGACATCGGTGGAATTATAGTCTGACCCTGTGTAAATATGCTGGAGTAGTTATGGGGCAATGCTTTCTTTTAAAAACAGGGCATATAGGAGCTCCCTTGCTGGAGCAGGAAGGAGGATACTTGGCCTGTGAATAATACAACTGAAAGGAAATTAAATAGGGGGGAAATGTGAAAGGGTACATAAAAATCCAGAACATTGTTACAAGAAGAAGGTTTGGTTTCCTTGGGTCCCTCTCTTTTGCATTTCTTTTTAGGGTGATCGGAGCTTTACCAAGTGTCTGTTAACACAGGGAAGCATTCGGTGCTTAAATCTAACTCATAAATTGATAGTGGTGCACAGGTACTAGCCAATAGACGCCTGCGCCTTCTGCACAATTTACAGTTGATGAGCTAGCTTTAAGAAGGAACCAAGGTTATCTTTTCCTCGTGACAAAATACTTTATTTTCAGAGTGCTGGCAAAATGCATTTTCCCTTGAGGGAAATGTGCTGCCTTAGCAAAGATAGCAGATTTAGCCCATTAAAAACATCATCTGGAACAGTCTGAAGAAATGCAGTAACTCCATGAACAACTAGAAGATGCTCCGGCGCATGCAAGCAGGGGCAATATACAAATGTTAGCAGAGAGTACTGAAGAATGTTGATCAGTATTCCAGCTTGGATAAAATCCAGACAAGGAATCTAGCCCAAGATAATAAAACTGGGACAATGCATGTACATGCGAGAGACAAGCACACTCATGTGCAGTGTAGAGGGTCCGAGCTTCAGTCCCTGGCATCCCCACGCGAAAGGATCAAGTAGTAGGTGGTATGGAAAACTTCCTTCTGAGACTGTGGAAAGAGGCTGCCTGGATAGTTAGAGACCATTGGTCACAGTGCAGCACCTGCTGTGTTGAAGTGGGGCCGTGGCTCAGTGGTAGAGTGCCCACTTTGTTTATTTATTTATTTATTTATTTATCTATCAAATTTATACCCCGCCCTCCCCCGTAGGGCTCAGGGAGGCTCATAAGGCAAGATAAACTTGCTACAATAAAACAACAATATATCCATAATTTAAAACATACTATACAATTTAAAAGAAACCCAGTCCTAAATCACATAAAGTGCTCAGTGATAATCAGAACTCTAAAACCCAAGATGACGGGACAGATCCAAAGACAGTTCTTAACAGGCAGTCTATAGCATCGCTGTTCAGATGTTCTAATAGTCCTTCTCAGGGGCTCCCAAAGATGGTAACACAGTAGGGGGGGGAGCGGCCCCTACTCGAAAGTCTGGTGGAAGAGCTCCGTCTTACAGGTCCTGCAGAACTGCATCAAATCCCGCAGGGCCCGGATCTCCCCCGGGAGCTCATTCCACCAGATAGGGGCCGCCACCGAAAAGGCCCTGGCCCTTGTAGTGGCCAATTTTACATCCCTGGGGCCCAGGATGGTTAACAATGCAGAAGGTCCCAAGTTCCACGTCTGGCATCTCCAGTTTAAAGGATTAAGTAGTGAGTGAGGGAAAAGAACTCCACCTGAGTCCCTGGAGAGCGGCTGGCAGTCGAAGCAGACGACACTGGCCTTGAGGGATCAGTGATCCAACTCGGTGTAGTGTGTTCAAGGGTCCATTTAATCAGGTATTTGGTTCCCAACAGCAACAAGCCAGAAGCCTAAGAAACTGACAGGCAGGGCAGAGCCTAAAGAGGATGGTCTTCTCCTGTTCCAGGTATCAGTCCTCTGAGGTATACTGCCTCTGTACGTGGAGATCCATTTATCAGAGCTTTTTTATCATTAGTATGGCTAGGCGCCTTGACCTGGATAACCCAGGATAGCCCAATCCTGTCAGATCTCGGAAGCTAAGCAGGGTCAGCCTTGACTAGTATTTGGAAGGGCCGCCTCCAAGGAATACCAGGGGCATGATGCAGAGGCAGGTAATAGCAAACCAACTGAAACGTCTCTTGCCTTAAAAACAAGTCTAGCTCACTACTTAGTGGTGCATAACGCTAAGAACTAGAACTGCTGGCTCCCAGACAATCTTAGGATCTCCTGGCTATTCTACACACAATGCCTGATGGTGATGATAGTATGGCTAGGCAGACTTTGATATCTAGCCACCATTGGCTTAATTAAACAGGATGCATTATTCTCTGCTCTGGTGCTTGTGCATGGAGCTTAAAGAAAAGAAAGAGACAGTTTGTAGTTTACCTTAAGAGACAGTTTGTAGTTTACCTTTTAGGCACCATGAATTTTAAGGAAGAGGTAGAGGAAACCAGATGGATTCTTTATTATTGGTAAATTGGGATGCTCGAGTTAAAGAAGACTTCTTTTCCGCCATATGTTTAAAACCGTGTGTGATGATTCCTCAGGAACACCGTTTCTGCCCAGTTTGATGTAGGTCTCCAATGGCTTGTTCTTTCTCCCCAAGAACTCCAGAGAAGAATGCAGTTCTGTGATTAGGGCAAGGTATCTCTATTTGTGAGAAGCCATACCAATGAGCATGGTATAAAATGGCTGTAAGTTTATGGTAGTAGGAGCTGTGGTGGCTCAAGTGGTTAAGACGCTGAACTGCAGGCTGTGGAAGGTCGGTAGTTCAGCAGTTCGAGACCCAGGTGCCGCATGACGGAGTGAGCTCCTGTCTCTAGTTCCAGCTCCTGCCAACCTAGCAGTTTGAAAGCAAGAAATTGCAAGTAGATAAATAGGTACCACTTTGGTGGGACGGTAACAGCGTTCCGTGTGCCTTGGTGTTTAGTCATGCCGGCCACATGACCACGGAAACGTCTTCGGACAGCGCTGGCTCTTCAGCTTTGAAACGGAGATGAGCACCGCAACCCTAGAGTCGGATTCAACTGGCTTTTGAGCAAGGGAACCTTTACCTTTACTTAAGTTCATGGTATATACGTACCATTCAATTATAAGACCCTAAGACCAGTGGTCTATCTAGTTCAGCATCCTGTTTCACACAGCTGCCAACCAGCTGCCTCAGAGGGCCAACAAACAGGACAGAGGTGGAGGTTCTTCCCTGCTGCTGCCTCCCAGCATTGGTATTGAGAGGTTTGCAGCCTCTGGATATGGAGGTTCCTTTCAGTCACCGTGGCTAGTAGCTTTCATAAATCTGTCTAACCTCCCCTGGCAGTGAATTCCACAATTTAATTTCTCGTTGAGTAAAGAAATATTTCCTCTTATTTCCCCTACAATTTTATTGAGTGCCTTGGAAGTTGTATTATGGGAGAGGAAGAAAAGGCTCCCTCTGTCCTCTTTTGGTATAGTGGTTAAGAGTGGCTGATTCTAATCTGGACAACCGGGTTTGATTCCCCACTCCTCCATATGCAGCCACATGGGTGACCTTGAGCGAATCACCGTTCTCTCAGGGGTGTCCTCTCAAGAGCAGTTCTCTCAGCCTCACCTACTTCACAGGATGTCTGTTGTGGGGCGAGGAAGGGAAGGAAATTGTAAGCCACTCCGAGACTGAGGGAGGGGTGTGTGTAAAATCCAGCTCTTCTTTTTCTTCCTCCTCCTCCCCATGCATAATTTTGTAAATCTTGATCATGTCTTCCCTTACCTGTCTTTTTCTAAACTCTCCAGTCTTTCCGGATAGGGAAGGTGCTCCAAA